TTTCCTGAAGATAAGGAGATTTGGGTTTCAAAGTTGATTAAACTATGGATTGCTGAGCTATTTGTAAGGGCAAGAAGCAATAAAAGGTTAGAAATGGTGGCAGAGGAGTATCTAGAAGAGCTAATTGACAGAAGTCTCATTTTGGTGTGTAGACGACTGGCTAATGGAAGGATGAAAACTTGCAAAATTCATGATCTTCTTCGACAGCTGTGCATAAGAGAAGCTCAAATGGAGAATTTTGTGCATGTCCTGAGTGATAGTGACCACATTTCCTCAGAAAGCTTAAAGTATCAACGGCGAGCGATGCTTTCACTTGGCAATCATCGGAATCATTTTTATGTTCCAAGGCATTGGAAGGGTATTACGAGTACAACCAGCAGCTTGGTTTTATTAGGCTATTCGTCTAAACTTTTTCAAATGCCTGAATTTGTTTCACGATTCAAGCTGCTTAAAGTGTTGGAGGTATCTTCAGTCCAATATAATTTTTCTTGGGTAATAGCTGAACTTGTACATTTGAGATATGTTGCAGCAAATATTAAGGTAGCGCCTTCACTAGACAAATTGTGGAATCTACAAACCATAATTCTTTGTAATATTTCAAATGAAGACTTTCATCTCCCACTAGAGATCTGGACAATGTCGGAGATAAGACATCTAAGTATTAGATGGTCAATACATATGCCTAATCCTCTTGAGGCGGAAAGTCTTTGCATTGTAGAACAAGAACAACCTTTACTTCTCAATAACCTGCAAAAACTTGTTCTCCCTTCCTCTCCCTTTTTGGCGGAAATCCTAAGAAGAACTCCCAATCTAAAAAAGATAACGATTATATATATGAAGAGTGCCGACTGGCCTGCTATTCTTGATTCTCTCGTTCTTCTAGTACAGGAGCTGGAGACATTAGCCATAATAGCAGAACGAGACAATTACCCGTTCATTCTCCCTAGGGATATTTTCTTGCCTAATCTCAAGCATTTAAGATTAACTGGGACTTGTTTTCCATGGGAAGATATGGTTGCGCTGGCTAATTTACCCAATCTTGAGAAGCTCAAAGCATATTCTGCATTCGAGGGAACAAATTGGAAACTAAATGAAGATGCTGTGTTTCACAAATTAAAATATCTAAAAATTGTGAACGCAATAAATCTGGAAAGGTGGGAAGCAACTAGTGATAATTTTCCGATGCTCGAGCAACTACTCCTGTCTGGGCTCAAAAAACTGGAAGAGATTCCCCAAAGAATTGGAGAAATAATGACACTAAAATTCATCGAAATAGAATGGTGTAGTTCTGCAGCCGACACTAGTGCAATGAAAATTCAAGAAGAGCAAACAAACTGTGGAAATGATAGCCTTGAAGTTCAAATTAAAGTAAGTAAAATTCCACCTTTGACTATTAGGCAATTCTTAACTTTTTACCTGCTTATTTCATATAAAGGCTTGTAAACTTTGAGATCTGTTATTACAGATAGAATCTAATTGATATAGAAGTGTAGTGTAGAAAACTGAGTCGTTGTGGAATGACGTGCTAACAGAATTCTTTATATGGTTTTAATGCAGCCAGCAATAATAGGAATCAAGTACTAACAGAATTCATATTGAATTTTTGAAGCATGCTCTAGCCCGGGATCAACGGGCAAATTATCTCTATGTGACTAGGTCACGTGTTCGAACCGTAGACTCAGCCATTAATGCTTGTATTAGGGTGGACTGCTTATATCACACCCCCTTGAGGTGCAACCTTACATCGGACCCTGTGTGAACACGAGATACTTTGTGCACTGATTTCTGGGGACTTTATGTTTTCTTTTTCTTCTTTTTAGTCAAATCTGTATTCAAGTTTATAGTAGTTAGATCCCTGGAATGTTTGAATATGTGTAATAAATGATTTGCTTAAGTGCATTACCTTTAAGGAAGTTGAAACCTTATGTTTAGTTGCAAAC